ATGTGTTGATTGCCCAAGAAGTAATAACATAAAACTAAGGAATTCTAAATCTTCCAAAGGTTTTGTGGCATTCTAAATTGATTATGGAACGTCCACATCATCAATCGCCTATGATTCCATGGGTTTGGACAAACCTTGGAAAGCTATTGCAATTAGTGTGTGCGGTTTTTCCAGATTACTTTCTAAGCTGATTTTAAATTGTATTCAAAGTTCCAATTTCTCAATTTCTTATAAATGGTATTTATCTAATAGATTGAAGGTTCAATGTGGATTTTGACAAGGGTGCCCCTTGTCTCCTTATCTATTCATATCTTGGTGCTTTCCAAATTGCTTCTGAATGCTTTCAAAACAAAAAGGTGATGCTATGGGAGTTCGGGTTTCTTACAAATTAGGCCTCTCTATATCCCAACTATTTATGTGTGACGTGATCATATTTCAGAAGCATACATTGAAAGGCTACCAAAAATTAAAAAAATCTTTGGAAACTTTCTCGCAAGTTGACACAGGTTTGTTCTATCAACTCAACACACAATCTTTCTTAATCGAATTCAGTCACTCCCACCAAACTTACGTTAGTAAGAAGGAGAAAGAAAGCCATCAACCGTTTTCTGCAAGTTACAACAAATAACTATACGAGCCTGCACACAAACCACCTACGTAACTCAAACATAAAATACTTGCGGCCCTTAACACAGCCTCTACGCTTTGACATACACAACAATAATCTATATGTAAATCAATGTTACCTATCTTTGGAGGTATACTTCTAACTTTACAGAAGAGTTTAGTTAACAAGGATTTCATTTTATTATCTGATAAAGCATTGAAGATGACTAATATGTGGAAGTAAGATGATTTCATGGCTGGAAAAATTTTCTTTAATCTAAAACAGTTGCTTTCATTTCGCACTTTCATTTGTAATAACTCTCTTGTGCCGTAAGAGTACTTCTTAGATGAGGATGGACAAAATTTGTAGAAATTTTATTTGGAACAAATCTAATGGAAGCCATGGATAACACTATTTAACTGGATTAACCTAATGTGTTTAACCATACCAAATGGGAGGTAGAGCTTCTCACTTCTTGTTCTGACATTAAAGTATTGGCCCATTAAGATCCAATTAGGCATGGAAATATTTATATGAGAAAGATTCCTTTCTTCACAAAGTATTCTTTTCACCAAAATTGGAATCTACTTTCATAAGATAGATTTGAGAGATGTAGTTCTTGCTCTAATTTAATGGAAAATGCTTGAAGACCGGTGGTAGAATCAATTATATTGCATTTATTAGATGGAGGTAGCAATATGGCCATTGGAGCTGATTGATGTATCAAGATACATGGATATTAGATTAAAAGTTTGATAACGTAGGCCAACATTCATTTCTTTCTCCTCAGAAGATGACAGATTCTCTTGTTTTCAAACATTATAGCAGCATCGTAGATGGAATGTGGACAAATTGAGAAAGGAATATGGGTGAAGATCGTTTGTAAATCTGATTTACAAACCATTACCCGATAGAGTATCAAGAAGATGATAAAAATGGAGCTCTTACTCAGGGCAATTGAGTAAATCATATATCAGCTTATGGTTTTTTGAAAATTCTGTTCAAGAACACATTCTTACGGCTTATTATTGGAGATGGATAAAAAAGCAAAAACTCATTCCAAAGGTGGACAGACTTTTTGGTGGAGTGATCTTAATAATGCATTGCCGTACCAATGAATTTCTGGAACACTAGAAGAATTGAAAAATGATAAATCTTTGCCAGCGAACTGTAATGTTGCAGAAACATAGGAGATCATTTTGATCAGCTATTGTCATAAGCTAAGGAAAGTTATTACTGAAATTAAGGAATCGGCATTTTTCATTCAAGAATATCATATTGCAGGATTGCTGTAAGCATCTTTCTTTCCTCTAAATCTCTTTATGATAATGCTCTATTGTTCTGGTCTTCATTTAATAGGAAGTCCAGCAATAATCTGCAGTCCTATATAACGAAAGGATGCGGATAGCTCATTGTTCATTCTATTCAGAAGTGCAATAGGTTGCAGGTTGCTTCGAGTCTCCCTATCCAAGGAATTAGTAAATACTCGGAGTATATGGGATGTCAAACGCAGATCCTTCAAGTTATGTCTTTATCTCATGGCACGCCCCTCACCCGATTGGCTTAAAGTGAATGTGGATGCTTCTCTTCTCTCAATTACAAAGATGGAATTGGAGGCCACACGTGCTAAGTGCTTAACACAAAGAAGATTTGAAGAAGAAATAGCAGCTGGGTTTATAAAACACTTATCTAATCTTTCAAGGATGCGTTCCGGCCCTTGCTTCTTGTTGCACCAAGTGAATTTTGTTCCTACGAAACCAACTTCATGTAAATCATTGTTAGCTAGAAATGTCTTCATCTCCTTGGATCCTAGGGAAAGTTTAAATCTTTTCCCTCCCCTTTTATCATCACTTGAAAGAATGCAATTGAAATCTCCTCCTATCACCATAGAGATATCCTTTTTAGTAAAGAATTCCAATCTTTCCCAAAGCAATCTTCTTCTATATACATCCTTGCTTCCATAGATTGAAGCAATTCTCCAAGTTCCTTTGTTGAGAATCTCCAAATCCCCCACAATAAATTGTGAAGAATATTCTAATATTTTAAAAGATGTAATGTTGCCTTTCCATAATACAAGAATGCCCCAAGATAAACCTTCTCATGTAACACAAAAGAAGTTCCAATCGGTGCCTATGAGAATATCCACTTCCTTTCTCTCAAAAGAAGTAATTTTGGTTTCCAATAAACCAATGAAAAAAATTCCGAAGTCTTTGACAATCTCCTTCAAGTATAGAGAAGCTCTTCTTTTCCTAGCTCCTCTACAATTCCAAAAAGCTATGGAAGAATTCATTGCATAAGAGGGGATGAAGTCCCCAACTTATCTTTGTTAACTTTATCTGCTCTTCTACTTCTAGGAGTAGAGTTGATAGGACCAAGTCCTTTTAGTTGTTTGTTGCCTTTATTTTTAATAAAAGAGGGACATCCATCCTTGATATTCATAAAATTACTTAAAAGTTCTTCCTTGTTGATAACTTCTTTTTCTGAATTATTAGAAACTTCTTCCAGAATTTTACAAGATTGATCATCAACCAATTCAGCTGTAATGATTTCTCCTTCCTCACTAAGATCATCTAGCAAATTGAATTTGTTAGTAGAGATAAAAGAAGAGTTATGAACATTTGACCTTTTATCCAAGATGACTTCTGAGAGATTTCAGAATGCTGTAAAAAAATAGATTCCTTAATAGCATCATCCTGGATTCCTTCCGGAATAGAAAATTGCACTTCTTTATTAGGAATTTCCATTGCTTCTACTTCCTTCCAGATTTGTTTTTTAAAAACAGAATCTGGAATTTTTTTCCCAGCAACTACTTTATCTTTAAAGCCTTGATTCTTGAACAAATTCCTCTTCTTGCCATAGTTAACCTGAAGCCAAGGACCATAGCCAAAATTAACTTTTTCTGCTTCTTTAGAAACCTTGTTGTTGAAGGTAATTCCTTCAATACCCTTTGGAAGATCCCCTTCCTTTTTAGTAACAGAATTATTAGCAGATGTGTTAAATAAGCAATTGGACTTTTCATGTCCAATTTTCCCACAGCAGAAGCAAAAGTCAGGGAGTCTTTCATATTCAAATTTTTGATAAAACTTGCCCGAGCTACTTTCAACCCAAGTTCCTTTTGGTAAAGCAATGTATAGATTGATACGAACACATACTCTACCAAACTCCCTTCTTCCCCATTGAAAAAGATTACCATCAATCATTAGGGGCTCACCAATTGTAGAAGCAATTCTACATATGTTGATTTCATCCCAACATAGAAGTGGTAGATTTGGAAGCCTTATCCATATTGGAGCACTCAACCCTTTTAAGGAGGAAGGATCAAAATTACAAGACCATTTATCCATACCAATTATTTTCCCATTAACAAACCAAGGTCCGTTATTGAATACAGCTTCCATGGATTCATTATTGTAGAATGAACAAAGGATCCAATCCATTCCTAACATTGTTAAGTGGAACTTCCCATAAGGAGCCCATTGTCTTCTAAGTTCTGTACTGACCACAAGGAAAGGAATTTTGCTTCCAAATACTTTGATAATAATAGAATTTTGTAGCTTTTTTGAATTTTCCATCACCTTGTCTTCATTGAGTTTAACAGAAATACCATCTTCAGATCTGAAATCACCTAAATCTAGGTGAGATATTTTTATATGTTCTTTTTTGGCCCAAGCTTTTTATTGTAAGATCGGCAGATTTCTTTCAGCAATAACATTAACTGTTTCATTGCAAGAGCCAAGTTCTCCATTGTTGCATTTACGAACATTTTCCAGATCAATTGAACCTTGGTCTCTTTTGCCTTCAGTAGGTAAATTGTTCAGAATTTTTGAATTTGAATTATCCTTATCTTGAACCTCCATGTTGTCTTCAGCAATTAAAATTTTAGAAGAATTTTTGACAGAATTTTGTTTACCAGAAAAAGCAGAATCATTTTCAGAAGAGTTTGAAGCAACCTCAATAATTGCCAACTCCCTAACACCGATGAGGTCTTTGTTTTTCAGAATAATGGACGACGGATCTTCTTCTAACACGCCTTTTCCTTTTCCAGAGACTTCTTTTAATTTTTTAGGAGGTAAAATCAAACCTCCCTCATTGATAACCAAAGGAGAACCTGAACGAAACTTCGTTTTGGAACCTTGAAAAAAACTTTTCAGGATATCACCAAATGCCGGTGGAGATGCAGAAAGTGACTTCGATGGACCATGAGCCAAGCTTGTGGAAGAACGACGAACATCCATAGAACCACCGAAGATCGGTGGTCGGTGACCTTCTGTCGCCATTGATCCCGCGGTAAATCCGCGGATTTGAATTTTTGAAAAAAAATCGCATAAATTTTAATTTTTCTCAGACCTTCTCTCTCTAACTTAAAAGCCTTTCCTAAACCCACACAACATATCTAGATGTCACATGTGTACCAATAACACATTCGTCTGGGCCATGAAAGTATTTGGAGGCATTTTATAGTTAAACCATGTTGACTCCTTTTTACCTGCTTAGGAGGATCAGGTTTAAATTTGTTGACCCGCGTAGCATCCATAGACGTCACGTGTGTACCAATAACATGCTCGTCGGTGCCTGTGCGGGTCGTGATTGTATTTACCCCTTTAGTGTACCTATGTGTATACAAACTAATGATGCATGCATGGGGGTACTTTTAAACATTTGTAAATGCCTTCTACCCGCTTGCATGGATATTGTGGGTCCGATGGCGGGTTGTAGTAGCTTCTGGATTAAGTTGTTTTCTTACTTATACAGGTAGACTTTCGTGTACTACTTGTTGCTTTATGCAGGTGGATCGTAGTGCACTAATGAATCTCATTCTTTGGGTTATAGGAGCTTGCACTTATCGTATTCTCCATACATTTTGTTGTGGTCTTTGGTCTTTTCAGTGCATCAGTTACTGCTGCATGTAGGTAGGTAGATGTCTTCATTTATAGGCTAAAATTGACTACAATATACTGCATTTACTGAAGTATTTCTTTATATACCCACGGATAGTATAATGTGATCACATATGTATTCGTAGACTTATATGTATTGCAGATCTTTCACATTTGGTTGCAAACCATATGTCGAATGTACAACGGGCCTCCTACAATGGACCGTAGGCACTTGCACTTGCTGTATATCAATTTCTCTCCGCTTGTAGGAGATAGATGCATCTACTTTCCACTGCCTATTTATAGGCTGTATTAGTATCTTAACACTTGTGGCAGACTCCTTGTATCCTTCTTTTAGATGACATGTTGTGTGCACAGCGGGTCTTCTACAAATTTTCATAGGCATTTGCATTTGTTATACATCCGCTTTTGCATGTAGAGAACTAGTGTATTTGACCTATGTTGAATTATTGTCGATGATCTATTCTGTTTGTGAACATCTCATGTTGCATATTAATTGAATTGGTTTATTGAGGTTCAGTGAATTATCTGATAATTACTCATCATACCCGTGTATGTATATTACTATGTATATGACACATCTTCTATCATTGCTAGTAAGAGTTCAAATCCGCTACGATGTTCTATCTCATTCATGTAGAAAATCCGTCACACTGGTGATGTATTCACCAACACTACTTATAGATAAGATCATTGCATAAATGAAGAGTCTTATATGTTAACTTGTAGGAGCTTGTATACTTTATCGGTGTGTTACCCTTATTTGTACCTTTGCTTGTATGTTGAATTGTTGTTGATAATGGAGACTTTGCTACATTCATACGTAAATCTTTTTTGAATATCCCCATTGTAACTATCTTTGTTCCTCAAGTTCATATCACTTACTCTCATAAGTGAGATATAGGGATTATATTCACCATAGGTCATTGCTTATAATTTTTTGTTGATGCATGTAAGAAAGTTAAACTTGTAGTTCTCTTACATTTAATTCATTTGAACTTGAGTTCCCTTGTATATGATTTAGTCAAGTTCAAATTATGCTCAAAGGTTCACAAGTTCGAGTCCAAGTACAGTTCAGGCTTAAGATGAGCCTCTTCCCTTCATTCAAGTCCCTTGTGATCTTGTAGATTCCAAGTTTGAGTTCAAGTTGAGTTTATGCCCACAGTACTTAGCTCATTTGAGTTTGAGTTCTCTTAAGTCAATTTGGTATAACCAAGTTCAAGTCGGGATCTTTGTTCATTATAGTTCTTGCATGTCCTTTTTGAGTTCAAATAGGTCCGAGTATCGTCATATTTTCACTCAAAATTTTGGCAGCATCCTAGCGTCTCCCCCGTTTAGGGGAAAACTATAAGAAACTGGGTCTTTCCCACCACGCTAAGAAATGTAGAGAGAGTTGCTATTTGCATGTTTTATATTCTTGCAACTTGTATTATTTTGATGATTTCACATATTATTGTTTTATATATCTCCTAACACTTTTTGGAAGATTTTCTTTTGCTCTAGTGTGTACTAACATTTCAGGAAAGTCAACTCCAAGCGATGAAGACTTCAAATTATTCATTTATAAATTATAAGTTTTGAAATGAGAGGGAGGGATTGTAATTGAGTGAAAAATCACAACACACACTCTTGGGGGAATAATTTTCATAAACTGATCGTACGGGACAAATCTAGTTCGTACGGGACGATCATGTCAATTAATCCCTTGGAAGAACAATGGATCGAACAGGTGGGAAGAAAATTTTTTTAAGTCCTAATCATCTAGGATGAATTTTATATTCGTCCCTGGACGAACGTCTCTGGATTCTCACCTTTCAATGTTCGTCCAGACGAAAACATGGTTCGTACCGGGATGAAACTCTCTGTTTGAGATTGTACAGGACGAAATGAACCTTCGTCCCTGGATTAAACTCTCTATATAAAATCATCTCAGGACGAATCTTGTTCATCCCAGGACGAACTGAACCGACTTAGCCCAGTTGGTTACGTCCTGCAAAATTTTAGGAACTGACCTATGAAATAACCGTTTCGTACTGGACGAACCTAGTTCACACGGGACGATGCGCGTGTACGAACATAGTTTGTACCAATATATATTAGGATTGTTTCCGACACTTTACGTAAAATCATCTGGGACGATCCACTGCATACAGAATTGAAAACTTGCAGTTTTTGGGCAGTTTT